CCACTTTAAAAGCAGAGTTTAAAAGCAACTCTCTCAATTTTTCCGAGATAATGGGAACATAAAAGAAGGACCAATGTTGACCTCTCAAAACTGAAGAAAAAAAAGAAAAGATGCTGAGAATGCACTATAAAGAAGTTGCCACACACACTCTCTTTGGCTGAAAATGATGTCTGATGACTCTCAGAAGACAACGCAATGATCATCTACTGCACTCTCCATTTTGTCAACATCTCCCTGACAACCAGGACACAAAACTAGTTACAGCACTTCAAAAGTAGTCTCACAAATGCTGTAGCTGGTACAATCACATCCCTCAACCTCTCTTGTTAATGCAATTTTTGTTGTCACACGCGTTCAGTTCACTATACACTAGAATGCCCATGTGCTCTCCTACAGAGCTGCTTTCTAGCCAGCCAGCCTCCAGCCTTGTAATCATGGATGTTACCACATCCCAGATGTATGACTTTCCATTTGCCTTTGCTAAAAGGCCTGAGATTCCTGTCAGCCCATTTCCACAGCTCGCAGAGTTCCCTCCGAATGGCTGCCCTACTTGACAGCATGTTATCTGCTCCTCACAATCCAGGAATGAAATGGTTGAGGATGCACTATGTCACTATGCCAGGATGCTATGAGAAACTGTGTAGAAGGCTGCACTTAAGAAAATGTCTTGACAATGTTCTTCCCCCCATCCATAGTCATTTCAACCTAAAAGACAGTCACAATGGTCAGAGTTCATCTGCTGAAAGTTTCATGTCACCTTACTGTATCCTCATGTGGCACTTTCCATGAGGACTTCTTCCGTAAGTTTTCCAAGGACTAAGGAGAGTCTGTGGTTCCCTGGACCTTTCTGCCCTTTGAAGTTGAGTGTGACATTTTCCTTTTTCCAGTTTTCAGGGACCCCCGTGACCTTACAAAGATGATAGAGAGGCCTCACAAAGACATGCTCACCTCTTTCAGTTTTTCACCTCTAGTGAACGCTCAGAACGCTCTCTAGTTCTGAGCATTTGTGTATGCACAGTTTACTTAAATAATCACCAGCTCAGCAGTCCCCTACTTTTAATGTTTTGTACACATAAAATGCTGTACACAACCCACCTACTCCTTCAAACAAATTGAACTTAAGTAAAAGCGATCTGCCACTCCTGATAAGATATTCAGGATATCACTGTGAGTAGCTCCCAATTACTTGACAATTCTCTCCCTCATTGACAGCTCCATACAATCTGAGCGCTGCTCAAGTCCCTCTCAGGAAAGAAAAGCATAGAGGTATTAGTTTGATTCTACCTGAGTGGGTAGTCAATCCTACCACCACTACCCAAATGGCAGTCAGTCCTGGTATACTCAACTAAAGATCTGCTTGTTTCCCTCTGATTTCCTAAGTAGAAAAGATCTTGACAGCAGATTTACTACCGTTAACATTTTGCTGAGAGGAGCTAGCATACCAACAAATTGTCTGAGTAGGGCAGGATATTCCCAACCTACTAGTAGCATCAAAGCAACTTCTAAAGAGACAGCAGTACCATGAAGTATAAATCATGGTACAGAGCTGGCATGTGCTGGAGCTTTGCTCAGGGAAGGAAAACAATTTGGGAAGTCTCAGTGTATGAGTCTTGATGCACGTGAAAGGCTATGTCAGACATTAAAACATGACCTTTTTATGCTTCAGTGTGAACATGCACAGCACATCAGAAAAGCATCCCCCATGATGAAACATGATATCCCCCCCAACCATTTTTACTTGTAATGACAATTAGTAGATATGGAGCTTCTTGTTGCAGTCATTTAACTGAAGAAAAGCTGAGCTTCAGATCAAGTTAGTAGTTTCAAAAGTTAACCACTTACTGCCATTTTCCTTCACACTTGTAGTCAAAGACCTTCACAGCTGAGTTGTGTTAACAAGATCCTAAGTGAGCTCTTCAACAGTCTCAGCACAAATACCAGCCTTGGGTGTGCTGTGGAAGCAAGAGTTGTAACAAATAGCCAGGAACTGCTGCATCCGTAATATGTGGTGCCTGGCCTCTAGGACCTACTCTCATTTGACTTGCATAAAAGGAGATAGGAAGAAAAGAAGGAAAAGTGAGACAAGACAAGTAATTACTTTGTTTCAATCCAAGTTCCTACAGCTAGTGAGGCAAATTTCTGGAAAAAAATTCTACACAAATTTATAAGCTTGAGCCCACTGCTAAGAATACCAAGCCAGTTCTAGACTCGAAGGCAATCAAACGACCACTGTAGAGGAAACTACTGCATGGCAAGTTTTCTCCTGCACTCCAAATATTCAGTAACTGCAGCCTGGCAAGGTTGGGAAACAATATGCTTGGGGAAATTTTCAGTGGTTAGGGACTGAAGTTAGGGAAAGAATGAATGAAATGGCTGGAATCCAGAAATAAAACTCAGGCTGCAACACTGGGCTTCTCAGTTGTTGCAGCTAGAATCTGAAAGTCCCTTCTGGGCTGCAGAACCTAACAGCATAGACGCCTCAAAGCTGTTGTTTAGGAAGAGCACGGCCTCCAGAATGAAGCCCCTCTGCTTTAAACACTTACACTCTCTGCAAACTAACCCACCCTCTTATAGTTGACATTTGTTCATTTCCCATGGCAAGTACTTAAATCATTTTTCACTTATTTTAAGTTTGGTTAAAAAAAAAAAAAAAAAAAAAAATTAAGTAAGAAAAGAACTGGGTCAGCATTTAATGAGAGTCCAGAACGATTAGGAGGAACTTAAGGCAGCCAAGTTAAAGTTGAGCTGCTGAATACAGTTTTGTAAGAAAGTAAAATACATCAGTAATAGATAGTTAACCAGTCTTTCTAGAATGACCAGTGTAAGGCATTAGCTAAAAACCTGATCATTTCAGAAAAATGATAAAATGAGAGTTGGATGAAAATTTTCAAATGAAGTTTTTTCCATCAACAGCACTGCAGTGCATCGGTTGAAAACAAGACACTAATTGTGGATATATTCTCTTCACACTTCAAATGGGGATGCTGAGACATTCCACAGATGGCAAATGGAGAAGACAGACCAAGATGTATGCACATTTGTGAAGTCTCCTTCCCAACTAATTGCTTGTCTGTCAGAATTGAAGCCTGACTAAAGGGTTGGGTTTTTTTGGGTAAGCTTTTCTTGGATTGAATTTTCAAGTTATATCACAATGCAATTCAAAAAGAAAAAAATAGTCCAGAAAGTCAGTAGGTGCAGCACTATATCATCATTAGTTGGTCTGGATCCAAAGATAAAAGATTTCAGTCTCTCAAATCCTGAGCACATTCACAGGTGGCAAATACATAACTGCTTTTTCTTTCTTGAGGGAAGAAACAAGGAGTTTTTTCTCCTACAGCCTTTTAATACATAAAATATTGGTTCAAATCTATTCTGTAATGTTCCATTCCTTCCCACAGTTTTTGATCAAATGAGAACTGATGTTGGGCCATGGAAAGCCTGCTCCACATTTGTCTCTCATCTTGCTTCAAAGAGATCCCTATTGGGCCAGTTGTTCAGAACTCCATTGAAACAAATGCAGTCATTATTCTGCAAGGTCTCTTGTTTTTGTAAAAGATGATCTCTTTTTTCTTCAGGTTGTTGCAACTCTAAGTGATTCTGGCTCCTTAAATTGCTTTCGCTTTATGGTAGTGATAAGAAAATCTATCACTATTTTTATGAGAGTCCAGAAATTCACATTGAACTAAAAATCATGCAACAATCATTTTTTATTTTATTTTATTTTTTTTATGTGAAGCAGTACGACTCAGGAACTGCTAGCCTAGGCCTCCTGCAATTCAGCTGAACGTGTCCGAATTGTTTATACATATTTCACATTTCTGAGGCTTTCTTCCCTGCTATACAAACCAGATCAGCTGTACATATGAACCAGGTTATTCTCTGAAATCTGGAGAGCGAGACAGTAGGTCCAGAGAAGTGCCAACAAATGGTATGTGTACACACCAACTATTTCTCTGTGGGTTCTGAGAAAGGGCACTTTCCTAAGAAAACATATTTTGCTGTTAATCAAACCAGAATGTCTCATTTCTTCAAGGAATGAAGGCAGCTCGTTCCAAACAGCAAATCTGTGTTTTTCTACAATGGCCGCTTCTGTCTCCTGCAAGCCTGGAGGTCGCACCAACAGAAAGCAACGCCTGCTGGAATAGGCAAAACTCAGGAGCAGAACCCATCTATCTCCTCGGTGTTGTATGCGGTATTGTGACTGCTGAACAGATGTAACCTGTAAGCGCTACTGACAATACTGTCCTTGCCTTTCAGCGTGGTTTTATGCTGTGTTCACAAGAGCGACTGACAGCGCGCGTTACTTTAAAGAGCTTGGCTTCCTGATAGGAGAGCTGCAAATCCCAATCTGAGGCTGGAGGAGCAGCCCACCGGTGGGACACCATAGCTCGGGAACGGAGGGGGTTGCACTGGAGCCGCGGGAGAGCCCGTGCAAGGACCCGAGACCGGCTGAGGACAGGCCCACCCACAGCCGCCATCTCGCCGTCCCCTGAGGCGGCCACCTGGGGCGGGAAGGAGGAGACGCCAAGCTGGGAATGAGAGGGGGGGGGGTGGGAGGCGGTGCGGCGCGAGGCCCCACCGCGCAGGGGCGGTGCCGGTCACGTGGGTTCGGCGGCGGCCCCGCCCCGGCTCCGGCGGAGGCAGCGGCGGCGGTGCGCGCGCGCAGCCCTTGCACCTGGCGCCGTCCTCGGGGCTCCGCGTCGCCAGGACAACCGGCCTCGCCGCCGCGCCTCTGCCATGGTGAGCCCGCCGCAAGGCCCTCGGCCCCGGGGCGGCGCGCAGTGCCTCAGAGGCTCGGCCCGGACGCTACGGGCCCAGGGCGGGGAGCGGCGGCGCGGCAGGGCGGTGCGGAGCTGCCAGGGCGTGGCGGGCTGTGTGCGTGTGTGTGTATGCGTGCGGGCTGGGCTGGCGGTGCTGTGTGTGTGTGTGTATGCGTGAGGAGCAGCGCTGTGTGGGGGCACTTCCACAGGCGTGCAGCGCTGGGTGTGGCCGCGGCTGTGTGCGCGCTGCACATACGTGTGCGGTCCGCCGTGCGCGCCGAACGGCCGCGGGTCGTGCACATAAACATGCGTGGCGGTGGATCGATGCGTATGCGCAGGTGGATTTATAACCACAACAGAGCTGCGGTGCGTATGCGGTGGGCGTGGGGTCGGGCGCGTTGCCGTGTGGAGGAGGCGGGAGAGCGGCGGAGCGCCTCTGTGCGGGGCTGCGGGGCGAGGGGAGCTGCGTGCAGCAGGTGGCGGGGAGCCGGGAGCGGCCTGCCGGGCTCGGGAACGGTGCCGGCGTTAGCCCCGGCTTCGGGTTCAACTTCGGCGACCGCCGCCCGATCGCTTCGCAGCGGCGGCTGTGTACGGGGAAGGCTGCCAGGCTTTCGCGCATGGGGCGATGCGGTGTTTCAAGGCAGAAGGTTGGTTTGATGTGTATGAGGCAGCTGTGGGTGTCCTGCTTGGGATGGAGTGCCAAGCCCTATGGAGGGAAGCGGGATGCTCCTCTGTGGCAGCGTAAGTTAAATTTCTCTATTGCATTTGCACAAATAATGCTCCTTCTGTCCCTTCCCCATGTATTTTGAACCTGAGCAAAACAACCTTGAGAGGCGAAACGTGAGGAGGAATGATAATATGGGTAGCCAGCACTCGCAGTGCACCTCTCTGTAGTGCTGTGTACTTACAGTAGACAGACTTGATCAGCAGAGGATACAGAAAATATATGTTGCTACAAGGGATAGCAAACACCAGTGAGTGTGGCTGTAGGCGGTGTGGTGTTGGTGACATGGTTGTGATGTGACTTGATGACATCCCGCTCTGCATTGGCTTTCCTTCATGCATGCTATGGGGCTTCTCTGATGTGGAAGATCTGAAAAGCCAGCTTAATAAAAACAGATTTATTCCATGTTGCAGGTATGGAAACAAAAAGAATAAAATATTTGATGAGGTGTTTTACGATATAAGTAAACACTTTACCTCAACTCTGAGGAAGATGAAAAAGGGATTCATTTTGACCAGATAACACGAGACATTTCAATATAGGCAATACTGGTGTTTCTACAAATCAGAAAGACCATTGGCTTATTGCTTGCTTATTTTGACAGTAGACTGCAATAGAACACTGATTTAGCGATCTCTGTTAAAATTAGAGACTGTGTGGGGTTAGCAGATGTGGAAAGTTGAAACTGAAGTCAAATTTTGACTGAAGCATAGCAACTATTTTTAGGTTAATGGAGTAAAGTAGTACTAATCTTGGCACTGTGACAGTATTGATCTGAGCGCCAGCAGAAGGCTATACATTAACAGTACTTCATCTGTTTTGTCAATTAGAAGCTAGAATAACAGCATCAATGTCATTATAAATTACCAACTTGTCTAATGGTTCTGGTAATATTTCTCGTAAATCAGAAACGCACTTGAAAGGGATATGCTAAGTATGACAAAACCATATTAAATTGTGCAATCAAAGAGTTCTCGCTCTGAGTTCAAACAGTAGCCTGGAGCTAAGTTCAGACAGTAATCACAACACTCATTTGCATTCTTTCTAATAACCTTTTCAGGAAGGTAATCGGTATACTCCATACAATTTATTTTTGTTTGGTTTATGTTCTAGCATGCTTAAAAAAAAAAAAAAGATAGAACCTCTGATCCTTCTTGAGCAAGATATATTGAGCAACTTGATTTGGACGTGGCAGGGTTGGAGTCCAGTCTTCTGTCTGAGCTTCTGTAAAACAGCTTTCCCACTGGAACTTCATAGTATGTGGTGGGAAACCTTAATTCCTTGTAAAACTTCAGAGGTGAACACAAACAGTGATTTCTTGAGTTTTTAAGAATGCAGCTCTTAGATTCATCACTTCAAAGTCAGTATGCACTGTTACAATGGAAAAGATTAGATTACTTTTCTAAGGGATAGAACTCAGAGCACTCTCCTATCTCCTCTGTCAAATCCATGTTTATTTTTCAGGATCAAGAAATTACTTGTCTGTTTCTGTTGACATTTAAACTCATTCTTGAGCTTGAACATATTTTTTACTGATGGTTTGTTGAAGATCAAATTTTTCTCAGAATGATTTTTCTAAAAATACACCATGCTATGAATATCTGAAAAATCTGAGTATAATGTTATTGCCCAAGACTGCATGGAACCAAGTGGATTATTTTTGAAGCAAAATTAATTTTGATCACAAAGTCCCTGTGAATGATGCTGTGGTGGAATCTGCTCTAGGATCAGTTTCAGTATTTTTGATTAGAGTTACAAAATTACCTGAATGGTCAAGGAAAAATGGTCTCAGCTATTTTGAACTTACATTGCTACTTTCATTTGAGACTTCAGTGCTTAAGGAGGGATTTGTCAGTTATTATCTAACCTGCTCAAGAAAAGCAAGTCCAGAATCTATAAACTGCATGATTTTCCCATTTCCTTCACTGTCCTGTCAACACTCTTCAGTCTCTTGAGTGATTCCATCTGGGTTGTTACCTTCACCCTGGGGAAGCTATTGTATTTATGGAAGAGGAGGGCTGGAACTGGGAGTGTGCCCCTTCCTGTACTTGCCCATTTATGATTACTTACAACCACAAACTGCTGCTGTGTGGCCTACAAGGAAGGGCATAATGGCAGCAGCAAGATGTCAAGCATCAAAATATGGGCTGTGATTGACAATGTACTTTGTCCTAGTGTCCTTCTGTCCTCTCCTTCAGAGATGAGATACTAAAGTCTGTTTTCATTAGTTTGATTACTTTGAACTGGTTATTGAATATGTTCTCTAAACTGAAATCAATAAGGAGACGAGACATCAAGTCGTTATAAATGTGAAACTCTACCAGCATGTCATGCTCTTCTGTCATCAGAAGTTGAAATTGAGGTCAGAGCTTCACTGAGGAACAGCATTTCCAAATCATGACTTGATGTAGTTATTACCTGGATGTTAACAGCCGTAACATCTGTGAATGTATAGTTCTGAAAATGGTCTCTAATCTACTTCTGAAGCAAAATTATCAAGGTTGTTTATTTCCAAAGAAATTCAAGAGCTGTAAGCTTTGGCACATAGTAGAGACTCAGTGAGTGTCCAGCTTCTCCTCTGAAGTTCAGATGCCTTCCTTCCCTGTAACAGTTTAAAGTGTTTTGGAAATGCTACTCTAATGCTGTTTCCTGTGAAGTCAGTTGTAATCCCACATGTGATCTTGGAGAGGTACATAATTTTGTCTCTTGCCACTGAAAACTGCTATTAATTGCACATTATATATGTGTGCAGTAGCAACACATCTTGTGTCATTTTTATTTTCTGGATCATGCTCTGGGGAGATTGTCTGGTGGAGGTTTGCTCTTCATAATAAAAATTTCACACTCGGTGCTAAGAAAAACATCAATTCTGACATAGTGTTTATGATGCAGATCAAGCACTGCTTTAAAGCAGCTTTGTAGAAGCTTTAGAGTCATTTCTATGATTAATTACATCTTCTAATATAATTTTGAAGAACAGTTATGCTTGTGGAAAAAAAGCAGTATTCAAAATTGCTCTCAAAGGTGTTTAGAGATTCTGCTTCAGCCATACAAACAGGGCTTAAGCCATAATTACATTTACAGTGTGAGCTGGTGTCACTAGAAATATTTGACATATTGGAAAGATTTGGCCTTCCAGACCAAGACCAATGGAGGACTGTATCAATCCAAAGAAGAGTGGTGTAAATTAGAGAAACCAACCTGCAGAAGAATTTCTGGGTTTGTACGCTTGCTCTCCATTGCACTGCAGTCAGTTTAGTGTTAGTTTGTAGGTTAAAATACTGGAGACTAGGAATAAAACTAGTCATATGTATGGCACTAAAAACAACTACGGGCTGACATGATGATTCAGAGCAGGAATTTTGAAAGATGAACTCCTAAGGGCTTTGATGAACCTGTGATTGGATTAAATCTGGATGGCTGAAACAGAAAGGCTGTCTACAGCCAAATACTGTTGTATTTAAGCAAATAGGTAACAGCTTTTCTCACACTATTTTCCAAAAACGTGTCACAGTATGAATGTCTACAATGTTTATTGCAGCATGATTCTATAGAGTGTGTGAAAACAAGAGACTATTTTTGCCACAAGATGAATTTTAGTATGATTGCGCAGTCCCTGTGAATGATGCATTTAATTCCTTTCAGTCTTTCTGCTTAGAGACTCAGAGTTACTTGAATATTCAAATAATCATAGAATTGCTCAGGTTGGAAAAGGTACCTTTCGCCAGTGCTTTGTCCTTGGAACTTGGCAAAGTGCATTTGAATTGGTTTAATGCTGGAGAAGGATTTGTTGCTCTCCTGCTCAAGAAGAAAGCGCTGAAAGATACAGAACCTGAAAGATCATCCAGCTTTGTAATGGGCTACAGTCAATGCAACTGTTTGTCTGTCTACTTACTTTCCTTCACAGATCTGTTGCCCTTGAAACCTGCAAAGCAGACTATCTGGGTTTCCCTACAGTCTGTTGTACAATCAAATCTGAAGACTACATCAGTTGAAGGCTCCATTTTTCAAAGGAATAACCTATGAATGCTTCATTATATACTGTTTGTGCTTGGAAATCTATTATCTTAAAGAGAAGTAATGAAAAAGAAAGCAAAATACAGCCCTTAAAATATTTTATAGAACGGGGAAAAGACCAAACAAACAAAAAACCAACAAACCCAGCACCAGCAACAAAACATACAAACTACCTGAAGAAAATATTTGCTGGGCATAGTTTTATCATCAGCAAATATGCAGACATTACAACTATGAAATAAACAAGAGAGTTTGGCTAAGCAGATTATTATACCAAAAAGAGAATAGATAGAGTACTTACCCTTGTCCTGGGCTCACTGTAAAGCTCCAAAGGAGGAATCTTCAGAAGAGATCCTTCCCACCAGCAGTCAGCTCTTAAATGGGTCTAGGAGAGGTGCAGCCAGGCTCCACCCCTTCCATCACACAGCTGAATCGCCTTCACCTGTGCTCCATGGCTGACTCAGTGCTCGCCTCAGGTGGTCAATCAGAGGCTCAGGCCGTGATTCAGCAGTTCCCATACATACATGTACTTTGTGTTTCTTCTGCCATCTTTGGTAGTGGTTCGAACAAGGCACTTCAGAAGAAAAAGGATGAACTAATGGATCATAATCTGAACAGAGAGTTA